ACAATTTCTTCCTCAAATTATCCAGGATGGGCTGACAAAATCCATGGTCTAACTGTTCCGGCTGATGGACCTTATCATGTGCAAACGCTGCATGAACCAATTGGTGTTGCAGGACAGATTATTCCATGGAATTTTCCTCTACTCATGTTTGCCTGGAAAGTTGGGCCTGCACTGGCTTGTGGTAACACTATTGTCCTAAAGAGCGCCGAGCAGACGCCTCTGACTGCCCTCTATGTCGCAAAGCTATTCCAAGAGGTAGGCCTGTGACGCCTCACTCTCCCTCGCTCAGTACACATCTACGTGCCAAGAGAAATATATAAAAATAAATCTGTAGTATTATTATTCTGCATCAGCATGAAGTGTGTGCATTCTATATTTCTTTTCCGTCCTAGTTCATTTTCTAGTATACTCAGCTTCCTCTGTGACAGGCTGGTCTTCCTCCGGGTGTTCTAAACGTAGTTTCTGGAGATGGGCCAACTGCTGGTGCTGCTCTTGCCAGTCATATGGATGTGGACAAGGTATTTTTGGGTCCTTCTCTCTCCCTGTACACTGGATATGCCAGCTCCTTAAAACCATTACCGCGTCCCTTTTCAGGTAGCTTTCACCGGATCAACTGATACTGGAAAGATTATTCTTGAATTGGCTGCAAGAAGCAATCTTAAGCCTGTAACATTAGAGCTCGGAGGGAAATCACCTTTCATTATATGTGAAGACGCTGACATTGATCATGCTGTGGAGCTTGCGCACTTTGCTCTCTTCTTTAATCAGGTTGGTTCAATTAGTTCTCCACGAATCCGGGTTCTGTACAATCAGAAGTTCGGAACACATCATTAATGAATGCTTGGATGACGTGCAGGGGCAATGTTGCTGTGCCGGGTCTCGTACTTTTGTACATGAGCGTGTGTATGATGAGTTCATAGAGAAAGCAAAGGCACGTGCTGTGAAGCGTGTTGTTGGCGATCCCTTTAAGAAGGGCGTTGAACAAGGCCCTCAGGTACTCAAATATTTGTCATTTCAACGATGTTCTTTTCGTTTCATGTACTCATCTGTGATATAAAGAATTTAAGTTTTTAAGTTAGGCTTCTAATCATTGCGACAATTCACAGATCGACAATGAGCAGTTTGAGAAGGTCCTTAGATACATAAGAGCTGGCATTGATAGCAATGCTACCCTCGAATGTGGAGGTGGAAGATTGGGCTCCAAGGGATACTTCATCCAGCCTACTGTTTTCTCAAATGTTAAGGTATATTATTTCTTCGTCCAAAGATAGCCGCTTCAACTTATACACTTGAAATATCATTTCACGTAACACGATTCCTGAACATTTCAATCAGGACGATATGTTGATAGCAAAGGATGAGATCTTCGGCCCGGTGCAATCAATTTTGAAATTCAAGTAAGTTAAAACTGTCACTCTGCATCAGGTTCTTGCATTGGAATATTTTTTACATGCCTAATAATTTCACGTTGTGTACCAGGGAGCTCGACGAAGTGGTCCGAAGGGCAAATGCAACACGCTATGGTCTAGCTGCCGGAGTTTTCACCAAAAACATTGACACCGCCAACTACTTGACACGGGCATTGAGGGCTGGGACAGTCTGGGTGAATTGCTTCGACGTGTTTGATGCTGCAATTCCTTTTGGTGGATACAAGATGAGTGGAATAGGCAGAGAGAAGGGAATCTACAGCCTTCATAACTACTTGCAGGTGAAGGCTGTTGTCACTCCTTTGAAGAATCCGGCATGGTTGTAGAAGACCGAACCATATGCTCCGATTTATGTGGTTTCAAATAATAAAGAAACACAAAGTCTGTCTGGAATCCAAAGAAGTTTGACGAGTTTCTGGTAGCATAAAGACGTTGTACTGTTATATGGGAATGCTTCAGAAGTTTCATCCCTTCAAAATTTAGTGCTTTTCGGCGTTCATTACAAATAACCAAGACAGATTTACAATCTTGTACCAAGTTGTTGAAAGTATAGAAACAAGAAGATTAAATCGGATATATTCATATATTCTTGCGTAATCCAAAGAAAAAAAAAATATTCAATTTCATCTCTATCGAATTTTAAGATTAGAGAGGAAAGGATTCGTTTTTTTTAGGGCACTTTCAGGAATAGATTCAAGGTAGACGGAACGAGATTTGTAGCTCAAAGGATTAGAACACGTGGTTATGTTGGGGTTTGAATCCCTCCTCTCCCACAACCGGCTGAAAAGGGATGGTTTTGTTGCCATTGCAGCCAACCATGTCAACTTTTTAATGTGAGATTCTTTCTAAAATATTATAATATAGGAGTGGGGTCAAACTTTTCGAAGCACGTCAAATGTCAAAAAACCAGAAGGTTTTTTTGAGAAAAATTTCAATGACAGCCACACGTCAAATTGGATAACAGCCATTAGATGAGATGATTAGAATGGACAAGGATTGTTTGCCTTTCTTGTTTCCGTGCCCTCTCAGAGCAAGTCCACCCTTGTGGATTGCTCGGGGGACAGGCATCAGGAAAGGGCCCGAGGCCCAGTGGACAACCCTCCAGCCTTGGAGAGCCCAAGTGAGGGTGGGAGCCCGAGCACAAGGGGGGTGGGGAGTTGACAGGCCTGCAGCCCGAGGGCCAGGCATTTTTTTATTTTTTTTTGTGTCAGCCCGTGGGCCTACAGCCTCATTTCCATGTTTTTTTAATTTTATATTATTTAAACAAACAAAAAAAACTACTATTTTATTACCTATTGCCAGGGGGAGGGCTCCAAGGGTGGAGATGTAAAATGTAATTACTGTTCATTAATGGTAGTTACTATTCATTAAAGGCAGTTACTGTTCAATAGGGTGGATTCAATAGTGGATTGCCAGGGGGAAGGGTTCCAATGGTGGAGTTGCTCTCATATCTTTTTGTTTGTATGGTCACAGTTAAACAACGTCAATATTTTATATTACTATTCATTTTTGTCTTATTATCTTTATAAAAAACATAATATAAAGTGTTAACGTGGCTTAACCGTGATCATACAAAACAACAAGGAGGGTAGACAATCCTTATCCGATTAGAATGTAACTAAATGTAGTTAGTCAAAAATAGTTACTTAATTGTCCCGATATGTCAATGTAACAGTGTCTTTTATAAATAAAAAAAAATTGATTCGTTTTTCCTCTATGTTTCTTCTTCTTCTAACTTAACACTGCAGTGAAATGTTATTAACTCATATTTTATAATATAAGTAGACGATAAAATAATATATCAGAACTCGTTAATCTAAATTCCCGAGTATGATGATATTCAACAACAACGTATACTATAATATTAATAAATCGGTAACGCCACTTGATCGGGCATCGACTAATTACTCTTTCCATGGGGAATGATGTCAAAGACATTTTTTTTTAACATCCCAATCACAATTATAGGATAAACCAAAATCCAATGAACGCATATTAATATACTAATCTCCAAAAAATAGACGCGGTCAACTTGGCGCAATGTTGTTGGTCCACTTGTCAAACCCCTTTTGTGGCCACAAACAAGAATTTGATTGGTGAAATAAAACTGATTATTTATGTATTAACTTATTGCTTAAGTGACCAAATTGCTTGAGAAATAAAACTGGTGAAATTACTTCACCGCTACACCTAAAGCAGTTTCATTAGTCTTAAAACATTGTTTAAGATAAGATCTCTCTAATATATTAATGAATTCTGATTAAAATAATTATTTATTTTCTCGACGTCAAGTATGCCACGTATGTTTGTTGTTAGAAAATATGTTTTATTAAAAAATGAAAGAAGTATTATAAAATCATATTCAGAGAAGTTCATTCACAATTCAAAGAATCATGATTCATGAATTGATAGAACTTGGCTGTTGAAAGAATCAGCAGCACCCCCTGCTGATCACCAATCACAGCTGGACACGTGTTTAAGTTGGATTAAAAAATCAACAACTTGGACATGTGTCCAGTCGTGATTGGTGATCAGCAGGGGTGTTGTTGATTCTTCAGTAGCCAAGTCCCATTCTTCATGAATAATGGTGTGCATTTTTGTTCACCATCCTATTTATTATTATTACATGAGTTTAAATTTTGAGATTTGTGTCTATATCTCAAAACCATACTTCATTTATCCTGAAACTACCGAGTACCGGTCACTATATTCGTTCAGGGACCTACTTAAGGGGTCATGCTAAGGCACAACTGATGAAGCACATGAGTTTCTCTCGAACTAAGAGATCAATATATTTTGACACTTGTCAACACTAGAATAAAACTCTTAGAGTCCCACATCGACCGATGACAAAAAACAAGGATCTCTCATCAATTATAAAAAGATCATTCTCCCACAATTAAGCCTCTTATGATCTTAGATTCCTTAATCCATTATTAGAATTTACTATTGATGATTATGCTTGAACCTTTGTATCATGTAAGCTCTACATTATTAATGAGAACTCCACTACCCTGGTTGACGTAACTCAACTTAAAGTGAACCACTTGCATTTGTGTTTGTTTTTCATTCACCATCATTTTACGCACTACTTCTACTTAGTGATCGAAGCGACCTAATAAAAGTCACACCTTACGTTCTTTTAAAATCAAACCTGTTTTTGTACATAAAACAATTAGTAATGAACAGTTTACACTCAAGAATTTTGGTCGGTTTAACGTGAACTTGCATGCGTTAGCCCATGCTTTTAAACTCTAATTTTCTGTTTAGTCAATCGACTTTTGTCTCTAATTAAAATTGACCCAAAACACAGGAAAACACACGCGTGTTCCTCTGGGTGCCCCATTGCCACCGCAACACGTCGCCCAAAAGCTGAGTCCACGTGTCCCAGTCGGCTTGTGGTCCCCACGATCACTAGGCGAACCCCACCTCCCCACGTGTCCAGGTAGCCTATCCAGTTATGTTTTTAATCCTAATCAACTTAGGAACGTGGACTACTAGGATCCCGCCACGTGCCCGTTATCTCCCTATATTGTTGCAACTTTTGCCGCTGCTCCTCCCATTAATTCCGAAAACAAACAGAGAGCAAAAACAGAGAACCATTTCTCTTCTGAGTCGAATGCTACACCAATTTTATGTACAAAAACAGAGCCACTCTGTTTCTCCACACACAATTGTATCAATGAATTGGAGATTTGATAGCGACGACCGCCGGATACTCATGTTTCCGGCGGTGCGCCCTTGCGAATGTATTTCTCCGGAGACCCTTCTCGACTCTCTGATCCCTCTCTCCCACACAATCTGCAATTTCCACTCGAAATGCTTCGCGACGCAACGGAAGAATAGCCGGGAAGCAATTCGCCTAGTTCGTGTTCTTCTCATGTTCTTTGAGGAGGCATGCGAGTGCAATTCGGCTCTTTCGAAATCTTCCGCTGTCCTCTGCTTCTCCGAGCTTCATTTCGTCTTCCAAAAAATCCGGTTTTTGTTGGAAGACTGCACGAGAGAAGGCGGTCGGATTTTGATGCTGACGAAATGCGAGTTTCTTGCTACCCAATTTCGGCTGCTGATTCGAGCTTTGGCGACGGCTCTTGATGTTTTTCCGTTGAAATTGATCGATGTTGGCGATGAAGTTAAGGAATTGGTTGAATTGGTGTCGAAGCAATCGTGGAAGGTCAAAATCGAGCTCGAAGCGGATGACGAATTGGCTTCGAAACGATTGCTTGCGATTCTGAGCCAATTCGAAAGGGGAATCGAGCCCGATTTGAATGCCGTAAAGCGGGTCCTCGATTACCTTCGAGTCAAAAGATGGAGCGACTGCAACATGGAGATCAAATTCTTGGAAGAAGAAATCGCTTTCAAGCGTTCCGATCGCGACGAGAGGGAGGTTCCTTTTCTCAGTAGCTTGGTGGGGTTCCTGAGCTACAGCAGGGGAGTGATCTTCGAAACATTGGATCATCAAAACGCTGCGAATCAAATCGATTCCAGGTGCAACGTGGAGATGTTTCGTTGCTTAAACCCTGAAGATTTCAAGTGCCCGATTTCTCTTGAGCTAATGCTTGATCCGGTGACTGTATCTACAGGTCAGACATACGATCGAAGTTCGATTCAGAAATGGCTCCGCGCCGGAAACATGCTCTGCCCCAAAACAGGAGAGGTGATCACAAACACAGAGTTGGTACCGAATTCGATTCTTCGCAAGCTACTAAAAAATCTTTGTGAATACAATGGCGTTTCTCTTGGCAGGCCAGGAACGCAAAGCTCCGACAAAGATCAAACGGTCGCGCATGGTAGCCCCGTTGCTAAACAAGCAATGAAGTTTCTCTCGAGATTTCTCAGCGGAAGGGTTGCTTGCGGAACAAGCGAACAGAAAAACAAGGCTGCTTATGAGATTCGGCTGCTAGCCAAATCAAACATTTTCAATAGGTCTTGTTTTATCAAGGCTGGCTCCATCCCTCCTCTGCTGAAACTACTGAATTCCGCGGATGCATCCACGCAAGTGAATGCAATCGCAGCCTTGTTGAAGCTCGCGAAATACGCAAGCGGAATGAAATTGATAATGTCATGGGGAGGACTACCATCAGTTGTTGCTGTTCTTAAAAATGGGTTGAGTTTAGAAGCCCGGCAATGCGCAGCTGCAACGATATTTCACCTCTCTTTGACAAGCCAGTATCGAAAACTAATTGGAGAATTACCTGAGGCCATCCCAGCTCTTGTGGAGCTGATCAGGGAAGGAACAACGTGTGGCAAAAAGAACTCCGTGGTTGCAATTCTCGGGCTGCTCCTTCGTGCCAAGAATCTACAAAAAGTGCTGGACGCAGGCATTGTTCCATTGCTAATTGACATAATATCTTCATCATCAGAAAACCCTGATCAGCTTGTTGATGATGCATTAGCAATTCTCGCAATTTTGGCCGAGAATGCGGTAGGATCACATGAAATCCTCTACGCCATTGATCTGCATTTGATCATCCGCATTCTTCAAACTTCGACATCCCAAAGAGCGAAAAAGTATTGTGTTTCAACATTGCTGTCTTTGTGCATCAATGGCGGGGCGGAAGTTGTTGCTGTTTTGGCGACGGAACCATCTCTAATGCCTAGACTGTTTTCGCTCTTGACTGATGGAACATCTCACTCGATCAATGAAGCGTCCTCCCTCATCAAATTTCTCCATAACTTCGGTGAAACTAGCGCACCGAGATGGATGAGTACTGCAGTTCGGCGCAAACAAAGCGTTCGGTAACCGTGATTCATCTCGATTTTGCATGTAAATACATTCATAGATGGTGTAAATATTTAAAAACAACCATTAGTTAGGCTTTATACTTTGTAAATTTGTAAAATGCTACAAAGATTATGATTTTAGAATATATTTTGTAAATAACCTAAAAAGGCGGTCGATTGATTTTAGACATTATATTATCTGCAAAATATAATTTAAGTAATTACCTTTAAAATTCAAATGTAAGAAATATTATTTAGGCTTTAACTTGGCCCAATTACTTGTAGTGAGCCGCACTCACTTTTTGTTCATCTAAACTTTTATCAAAAGCACAAGAATAATCCGTAACTAAAATCAGATTCCTGGGTAAATATGTCCTTAAGTATCAACAAGAACAAATAAATGGGCCCAAGGCTTAACCATAAAAAGCCCACATATAAGAATGTAATCTCACTTGGGCTTTTACCTCTTTGACCGTTGACGCTTGTAGAAAACCCAGAAGTTTCCCACCTGAAATCCCTAATTCCTAATTTCTCAGCTTCTCCAATCTCTCTCTGTATGTTCTACTCATTCTTTAATTTCTCTATGTTTTGATTCTGATTTCGTGGAATTTGAAAGCTGAATCGGCTTTTTGTTGTATTAGGTGTGTGCGCTTTGAGGATCGATATGGCGGCGGAGCCCCAGGCGGTGACGGAGGTCGCGAAGATGGATCTATTCGAAGACGACGACGAGTTCGAAGAGTTTGATATCAACGAAGGTATGAATTCTGCGCTTCAATACGTGTTTGAATCGTTTAGCCTTAGTTTCAATTCAATCTCAATTTGTGCTATTTATTTGTTAGGGTTTCAATTGATTGGAAATGTTTGAAATTTACTGTTATTGACTTATTGTATGTATTTTTTTAATTAATTTGGGGATTTTTGCAATGTCTCGCCTGCATTAGCATTTAGTAGGTGGATTTAAGTTTTTGGGTCTCTTAGTTTTGATACTGTGGTATGCTAAAACTGTTGAAATTCGTTAATTTGCTTATGAATTCAAATTGGTTAACTTTTTCTGGGCCTCATGCTTCCCAAATTGGGTAACTTATTTGAATATTCGTTAATTTGACGAAGAATTCAAATTGGGTAACTACTTTGAGAAGGAGCCGTTCTAGTTGTGTTCGGTATTGTTTTGTAGACTTGATTTGTGTAAGCACGGTGATTCTCTGCATATCTGGTTTAGGTTTAGAGTACCTGCATTGCTTTTACTTATGGTTCATGCTGTTGTGTGTACGCTTGCAATGCTGATCAGATAGGAGTTATGCATCGTTCTAACTTCGTCTTGTTTTGTTTTTGAACAATGACAGAATGGGAGGACAAAGAGGAAGGCAAGGAAGTGACACAGCAGTGGGAAGACGACTGGGATGATGATGATGTTAACGATGACTTCTCTCTGCAGCTGAGGAGGGAACTTGAGAACAATACTGAGAAGAGCTCAGCTTAGTCTGCAGACTACGTCGGTAGTTTTCTTTGTTTTGTGAACTTGAGATGGGTTTTCTTGTTATCTTTCGTTTCAAAACACTAGCTTTTACCTTTCCAATGAACTTTTTTTTTATAAAGCCTCAAGATTTAGTGGTTTGAGCTGAGTTTTAGTTTTGCTTCGAATCACAAAGGTTAAGCTTGTATCTGTGAATGTGAAATCTTGAGAGCACATTACATTGTGTGTTTTCCTAGAGGTACGCGTAAATATCCGAATTTTGTAAGCTAACATGTTAGTAGATGATGTCCTGGTCTTCGTGAGTTGAAATTTATATGGCGATGCTTTTGTATCTATAGCGTGACCATGACGTTGTTGTCCGAAAACCCCTCGTTAATGTCCGAGGGGCATGCCTATTCTATCTACCAAGAATGGTGAAACAGTTATCACATATCTTCATTGCTGTGCGTTCTTCTGAATTAACTGATCCTTTGCGTTTTCATGGCTTGCACAAAGCGATTACATAACTCCGTGAAACCGGAACGCTAAGGTGGCGGTGTTCCAATTATATCATGCATCGCCGTATGTTTTAGTAACATGTGATTGCATTATTGGTTTGAAACACTACCAGTTGGTGTCCCCGGTTATGTAAGTCCTCGAGGCTCAAGATCAACAAACAGGGCGAACCTTGAGCCTTTGCCCCCTAATGCAAGGCGACCATAACAAATTTTGCAATCTATTGTGGCTTCAAATCCCAATCTACCGTCGGCAGAAACCAAATTTTTTCCCCCTTCCCAATGCGATCACATTAAACAGAACCAGCATTGAATTCTTCATGAAAAAGGATGCAAGCAAAGAAACATTTTACAAAAAAATCATTATTGGCAGCGAAATACAAAACTTAGAGCAACCTGCCTGCTAGGTCATTTCCACTCGAAAATCGCCGGAAACGCCACTTGCCCCTCCCAAACTCACATCAATCTTTGGAGTTCTAGCACAAGTCCGACACACCGGACAAACCGGAGTCTTCAGCAACCACGAGTCTATGCATTGAGCATGGAAGCTGTGCCTGCAATTTGGCAACAACCTGCATTTTTCGCCTCCCTTGAAACTTTCCAAGCAAACTGCACAATCCACAGGGTGGTTGGTCGTGGTCCCTTTCTCTTCTGCCGTGTAGTCGAAGCAAGGCAGCATGTTCAGTTCCTCATTGGACATCTTTTTTATCGCAACAATGCTGTTTCTTTGAACCCGATTAACACCTTGATCATTGCCTCTGTTGAATGCTCTCCCAATGATACACACATGAATTACTACTAAAACAGCAACCCCCACGAACAGTAAGATCACAGAGATTAAAATCTCCATTCCCTAAATATTGTACAGAAGTGACACAACCGAGATCAAACCCAATTAGCTGAAAGCTTCTGGAATGGCTTAAAGCACTTCCAACAGCAATTGACAGAATAACTCGCATCTGCCATGTACTTATTCAGGAAGCTCTCTTCCAAGTGATTGGATTTTTAAAAACTTTCTAACGTGCTTCTAACGGAAGTACTTTTTAGAGAAGCAACCTAAACGAGCCCGAAAGCTTTTGAAGGCCACCTCATGCATCAAAACCATCGATCTTATCTGAAAAAACGCAGTTTTGAACAGACCGGTTCAGGTGGCATGAAGAAACTGGAACAGAAGGAAAGAACAGAAGCTTATAACGTGTGTCTTGGGGTTTGAGTTTTGGTTGAATTATGTGCATGACAGTTTTGTAGTTACAAGTGGGCTGCTTCTGTCCCTTTGCGCTAATAAATTATGGATAGAGAGGATACAAATTCCAGGCCATGAGAATTGAGGCAGAAAGATTTTATTCAAATTTAGACTAATCCATCCAAAATAAGAAGTAATCTATGGTTAAAAAGATTGAAAATTAGGTTAAGCTCTCTGATTGAGAGAGAGGCAGAGAGAGTTAATTTTGCGTTTAAAGTTGAGGCCAGGCTAAATGCTAATTAGAGTTTGAAATATGTGCATAAACTTTTATGTTAATGGTTTTAGAGAGCTAATTTTGCATTCATATCTTATTGTGACTTGCATATAAAAAGTAATGACTCTATATATTTATTAACGATCATAACTTATCATTAATCTGACCGATTAATTTAAACAAACGCTCAAGAAATTGGATTTTGCTCATCAACAAATTAGGTTCTTAAACGTCGATTCTATAACCAAACTCGTACAACACAAGAGTTTGCTAATTAGACATTTTCAATTAAACAAGGGGCATGTTTATTTTGATTTATAATTATGATATCAACCACCAGAATGACACCTACGTATAATATATATATATATATATATACACACACACACACACTAAACCCTAAACCCTGTATATATACTATACATATACACACACACACACACACACACACACACACTAAACCCTAAACCCTATATATATACTAGTATTGGCCTACACACTTTACATTTTTTTAGAAAATGAGAAGGAGAGAGGGAGAGAGAGAACGTGGGGGAAGTGGGAGGTTTTATTTTATTTTATTTTATTTTATTTTAATAGTGGAGGTATTTTAATATCACTTGTAGATGATCCTTCAATAAAAAACACTAAAATTTGGACCTGTGAAATTACATTATTTCATATTTTTGTGTGATAGAACACTAGTAGTTTTTCACTCTCTTTTGATTGATAAAGAGAGTTTCATTAATTAATAGAGATATAAAATGTAAGGCAAGCTTGTTAGTTAGCCCAACTTTTAGGCGGAAATAATAATTTAGATGGTGGTAATTGGAGAATTCATATAAACATGCCCCTTACTTTTAATTAAATCTAGTTATTAATAATTTTTATCAAATTATCATGTTTAATCATGTACGAAAGTGGGTCGATAATTACATGCAATATCAAAAGTTTGACAAGGATAAATAAAGGGTAAATAGGATCTAATTGCTATATTAAGTATATATAAAATAAAACGAAGTCTTGTAATTAAATAAATAATTTAATGCATACAGATTATAGAAAAACAATGCTAAATGCATATGAAAATAGATCAGAAAACTTAATAATGGTCGAGGCAAGTTTATCGGGGCCCATTATCAGTGGCGAAATTAGGAATTAATTATATAGGGTGGGGCGAATTTAAAGGAGTGCAAGATTCAAAAAAATGCAACAATCAAATCCTTTTATATAGTAATGTCGTCTATATTCTATTAATACAAATAAGTTATATTTGAAAACCTTTTTCAATAAATACATCAATGCCAACATTTTCTGCTTTATCAAAATCACATTTGAAAAATTAGCAATAACAGCAAAATGCAACATCTCTTGTTATACTATACTTCAACCACTCATAAGTATCAAACCAATTACCCGAAACACTGGAAGGAGGATTTGAGCAGTGTATAGTTCCGCCTAGTCCCTCCTACTCCCTCCTAGGCGTCCGCTAATGCGCTTTTCGAATTTATGGCCGATTACGAAAGGGCTCCATGACTTGCAGGTTTTTCGAGAGAGCAAAAGGGCGGACCGTCGCTCATGGGCTTCACTTTCAGCGATGGGACCCCCCTGTAGCTTTGCCTGTGTAATAGTAGCACTCTAAACCATGATTATATTGAAAACTCTCTCATATGAACTCAATGAGACTATAATATTTAGTACATTCTATGTATGATTATGTGAATAATAAAAAAGTTATTCATGATTACTTGGGGACTTGCCTATTTACAGAAGTAGAGATGTGTCTCCAAAAAGCATGTTACTATTCATAAAGACTCAAAAGTTCCCACCGTTTATTTGAATTTCATATTAGAATAAACACATCTAAAACCAAAAGGCACCACTTTCAATTTCTATTCAATTAATAGAATCAATATTATAGTTATTGTAGGAATTTTTCCAACATAAAAGGATGTATATGACTACTATGTTTGATTTATGAGAAATCATACGGAGACTCTCTTCAAAGTGTGATTCTTCGTAAACTCTTTGCCACCTAACGGGGGTTTCTTTGTTTTGTTTTTGTTTTTTTTTTTTTTAACCATTTGATTTTAATAATTTCCTTGTTAATAAAAACCTAAAGGTTTTCTGAAAATGCAAAAGCCTTTTTGGTAAAGAAAATGCCAAAGCTTGGAAACCAAGTAGATAAGATAGTGCAGATCGATGACCTAATTTCTTTTGGGTTAAAGCAGCTCCGCTCTATTTTGTAGGAATATTTTAGGCCAACAGGATCCTCTCCGGATCATTTTGATGAGGATCTTTTGGTGAGGATCTTTGAGATCTGTGAATCATGTTCGTTATCGTATATCGTACGGTCAGTTTTTATCAGGTACTGTTTGTGTTTAATTTTAAATAAAAATATTTAAAATGATTTCTAACCGTACAATGTACGATTAACGAACACGATTCACGGATCTCCGGAATCCTCATAAAGAGGATCCGGATTATATTTTAGATACAAATCTGACATTAAGAGCTTGTTGTTTATATTTATTTCAAAAAAAAAAAGAGTAGATAGTATTAACATACCAACTAATTAACATTGAGCATACCAACTAATTGACAGTTGCTGCAGATGTGTAGTAACTATTGTCTTCTTAATGTTATTTGAATTCTAGTCACCAGAAAAATTTCTCCGCACGTTGATACTGAAAGGATGTAATTTTTGTCACCACACTGAAGTGGTGATACTGCTCACTATTCAACTTATTATAATTTGATGAGTTTAAATTTTGAAGTTTGTGTCTATCTAGAATTTACTAGATCTTGAAATTTAAATTCATCTAACAGTTATAAATAAAGTGTTGAGTATCATCATCACCTGAAGATGGTGAGCGAAAACAATTCCTGATATTGAAATTGAAACACCGGCTTGAAGCTGGACATGTGGAACGTATTACAGGAGAGAGAAATCCGGGGCTGCTGTATACTCTACCTGAAATTACTGAACTGCGGGGGTTTTTTGTTTTCCATTTTTTTGTGGAACCCTAATCCATGAAACGCCGCTCTATACTATCTTGAAACGGATATATAGTGAGGAGATGATTCACCAGACTCACACCACTCCTAATTCAACGGTGAATTATCCAGAACCATATATTAATTAACAAAAGAAAATGTTAATTGCGGTTGATTAGAAAATTAAGGACGAAAATTTAGTCAATAGATTTAGAGACCCCCCAAATTTAGTGGATGGTATCTTGTTTTGATCCAAAACTTCATGCATCCGTTCATATATAGGCAGGTTGACCCTTTAAATAATCAAAAATTGGATTCATTAAGACATTAAGTACTTAAACTAGCACTCTTTAAACGGAAAAATGGTGGATACAGGCTTAATCAGAACGATTATTGGCATTATTGGTCAGTGAAATTGTGTTGGTGTTTGCTTTTTACCTCTTACTTCTACGTTTTCAAATTTATTTTTTATCAGTAGCGACATATGAAGTTTTTGGTGACCTTGTGCATGGCAATTACCATGCATGAACACTTGATTTAGGGTTTCTTTGTCAAAATCGTAAACTAAACGAAAATACTAATTAACCAATGACTGTTTTATCAAGAAAGAATGTGTGACGTCTTTTGGTTAATTGCATGAACTGATGGCTGACAAAGAATCAAACATGAATGTGTACACAAAGATAAACGACCTGCAGATATTGCACGTATAATGTGGAAGAAATACATCGGAAATGCTCTCTACATTTTGATAAAACTGTATATATTATTTAAACATAATTACCATGTTGATTTTTGTCTGAATGTGTTTTCTTGTGACAAAATTATCTAAACATAATCTTCTTTAATCTAGGTTTTTCTAGTATTTAATATTTTTTCACCTTTTCCAGTTAAATCTTTTACATTTCTAATGATTTTCTTGTTCCCTATATACCTTGCATCCAGGAAATGTCATCTCTTTGTGCTTATTTCTCTCCCCAATGTAATTCCCTCTCTCTCTCTCTCTCTCTCTCTCTCATCTGCAATTAAAAAACTAATTAATCTAGCTGTGTTGAATAATGAATCCAACATTGCAGCCCAACATTTTATAGAATAGTAAAGCAAAAAGCAGTATCAGATTTCAAGCCGGATCCCTACGTAGTAACGTTGCTGAATTGTGCCTTATGGCTCTTCTATGGCATGCCCTTTGTCCATCCTGACAGCATTCTTGTGATAACAATCAATGGCATTGGATTTGTCACCGAACTCGCCTACATTTTCGTCTTCTTAATCTTTTCTCCAGGTTCACAACGCGTAAGTATATATTGCAACATGTAAGTATATATTATGCTAACGAAATAAAAGTAAAATAATTTAGACACACAATGATACGATCCACCCTTATTAAAAAGTATATTAACAAATGTATTAGTTGGTGTGCCAAAATACGTCATGTTGTTAAATGCATCAAGTATTAATATTTCTTTGTGATTCAAGTTATCTTCTTTGTCGTTGTGGTAAAACTTATATCCTAATGTTTTTCCTTTTCTTGGGTTGCAGTTGAAGGTCTTTATTGCACTTGTGGTTGAAGTTGTCTTCTTTGTTATTGTGGTTTTTGTTACCATGTACGTTTTCAGTACAACTAAAGAGCGGTCTCTGGTAGTTGGGATCATCTGCATTGTCTTCAACATCCTTATGTATGTATCACCATTGACAGTCATGGTATGTATATATTTTTCTATGAATTAATTAGTACTCTCAACTAATATTCAATCTCTCCACTAGAGAAGAACTTAAGTAGGGCATAGAGATTTTGATGGTGTTCACTGATAGTTGTAGTTCTATAAGGTTCCCGGATCATAGCCAAATAATATGAGACCCATTACTTTGTGAGAATGCGTGATTATTGTTGCCCTACCCAAGTTTCTCATATTTTCGTTGATCTATGAGAAAATCTGTTCCAAACATTTATGTGTTTTTCTTTTGACTGGTAGGGTATAGTGATCAAGACAAAGAGCGTAAAGTATATGCCATTTTACCTCTCACTTGCTAACTTCTTCAATGGAGTTATTTGGCTGGTCTACTCACTCCTCAAACTGGATATCAATATTCTGGTAATTTTATGAACCAAATTAAGTTTCAACACATATTAATTGACCATATGAGCGCCAACTAGTAAATAAAAGAACCTTTTCCCATACAAAAGTGCAAAATTTTAACATATTTGTTTGAATAACTTTGGCAGATTCCAAATGGTTTGGGAACGATTTCCGGCGCATTGCAGCTCATTTTGTACGCCGCCTTCTACAAAACCACTCGATGGGAAGACGACGTTGATGTCAGACCGCGGTCGGAGGTCCAAGTGTCCAATGTTTAGAGAGAAACTAATTGACAAACAACAATTTTTTTTTTATCCCACTAAGTAGGGTTGACTGCTTAGAGAGAAATTAAGGCATTAATATTTGTTTTTTATTTTGTTTTTTATGGCCAACTAGTTCTTGTGCCATTTAGTTCCTCAAAATTTTTGCAGGTTTTTGCCTGAATTATCTGTTGAGTTAGTCATTAGATGGATTACTGCTGTAATTAACTGTATCAGTTGAGGTAATGCTATTTGTATATTAGCGGTCCTATCACCTCAAATTAGCTCGGTTGATCCTTATTACTTCTTGAATAAGTTTTATCCATTTCTCTGTCCTTGGGAAAAGCTAAAACACAAACTTTTGTTCTTGGTATACCAAAACCAATAAAACAAGTTCAGCTCTCTGATGTTTAGAACTCCTGCTTCAAGATTCTTGATCTTTTTCAGGACCAACTAATTCTTGAGTTTTATTCATTTATTCTTTTATTAATTTGCTCTCAAATATTATTGCAATTTGCAATGTTAATGGTCATAAAAGGGTATTCTTAAATTCACTGTGCTGAATTATTTTTATTTTTATTTTGGGATAAACACTTTCATGCAGTCAATTACCTAAATAATTCATCAAACAGGCACATACCAAAAAAAATTAAAAAAATATGGTCAATTTAGTCATAAATTCATGTCAATATAACTAGTATATAACGGATCTTACAAGGTGCTGGTAGTGCCAATCAAATAAATACACATTCGTTTAACGAAAAAAAAAAAGGGTAACAATATTTAATAAAAGCTTTACATCCTCGAAGAAAATGAGAAAAATAGCATTGCTCCATCAATCTATACCTTTCTGTTCATCTCCTTTTGATATCCCATATATCTGTTTCTCTGTTTGCTATCTTAAGTACAAATTGGACTCTTTTGATCTTGGAAATAATCATATCCCAGTTGGTATCTTAACGAATAAAATCTTCAAGGTCCTCTTTTCATTCGAAAGCAAAGACAGCCCTGAGACTGATCTTGAGGGATCATACCTCCGCCTTTCGTTGTGTCAATCGCCTCCAACATTGTGACTACCTCATCCATCTCCGGCCGCTTGTCTGGGTTCGCATCCCAGCATCGCTTCATTACATTTGCAAGGGCACTCGGACAACATCTAGGTATCTCAGGTCTCAAGTTCTGTGGTTGGAAAGAGGCACATGATAGCAATAAAAGGATTAATTTCGAGGAACAAAAAATGACAACTTAGGCTGATGGTTGAGATAGGAAAATGGTTTACCTGGCGAACCACAGCTGAAGTCACTTCGGAGAAACTAAGGTCAGGATATGGCATGTCACAGCAATATATTTCCCATAAACAGATGCCGAAACTGTAAACATCACATTTCCTGTTATACGGGTTGCCATTGAGGACCTGTCACCCACCCATTTGTCAAGTCACTAAACATACAGTAAACAATTATTTTATTGTACGTTTCCTTTCTTAGCATAATATTAGCAAAACCACCCTCCTTAAGTCAAGCGAAACAGGGTTTGGAAATGCCAAAGTTTCATTTTCATGCAATAAGATTCAAGAAACTACATGCGCATACACATGTGATTACCAACTACCTAAGATTCAAGAAACGTAGCTGGTAAGGTGGTGAAGTCGTAGCCACAATAATTTTAGCAACCAGAGTAGACCAAATACCTCAGGAGCCATGTAACCAAGCGTGCCAGTCTCCCCAGTCATGTCATTGGGATTTGAAGCTTCAACACGAGCAACACCAAAATCTGCAATCTTGACTACACGACTCTTGTCCAGCAGCATGTTCTCCGTCTTTACATCTCTGTGAACAATTTTCTGTGAGTGTAGGTAGCTCAACCTGGAAAATACAGCACGAGTGAGTCTAAGTGCTTGGCTTGACAATAACGCAGCCTGAAGTTCACTCTTTATCTACCAAATTACAATGCTCTAAGGAAAAGGAAATTAAAAATAGTATAAGAACTGAAAAAGGATACCCTCTAGCAAGATCTAGTGCCAGCTGGACAACGACTTTAAAAGCTAGCTTCCTTCTCCTATTCTTTATGAGGTATGATTTTAGAGCACCCCCAGGAAGATATTCCACGACGACACAACAGATATTAGTTGGCATGCCAATTTGACCATTTTCTGTCTGTATTTGTAGATCTGATGAACCCATTGTCGCCCCAATAAACTGGACATCAATAGACCGGAAGTTTAGCAAGATTTAATCTGTAATAAAAACTACTAGAAACTAATTGCAATGTATATCATATTTCTGGAAATCAAAATATAATCACAAAATATTTTATGCATGCATTTTATGTACTAAAGCAGCATTTAAGTTTTGAACTTCTTATAGCCTGTTAAATAGCATAGAAAATTGTCGTATTTATGACGTCCAGATGACACAACAGATATTAGTTGGCATGCCAATTTGACCATTTTCTGTCTGTATTTGTAGATCTGATGAACCCATTGTCGCCCCAATAAACTGGACATCAATAGACTAGAAGTTTAGCAAGATTCAATCTGTAATAAAAACTACCAGAAACTAATTGCAATGTATATCATATTTCTGGAAATCAAAATATAATCACAAAATATTTTATGCATGCATTTTATGTACTAAAGCAGCATTTAAGTTTTGAACTTCTTATAACCTGTTAAATAGCATAGAAAATTGTCGTATTTATGACGTCCAAACAGAAGAAAATGTAGAGTGTATTCACTACTGTACAGATATTTAAAAAGTTATCCAACTTATTTGCTACCTGAAATTGCTCAGTAAATTCTGAAAATTCATGATACAAAAACTCATGCTTCTACCTCACTCAGGTGGTGAGAGATGCAACTGAAGGATACCAAAGAGAAGGAAGGCAACTGTCTCGGGTAAGGTTACAACCTTAGGCTGTGATACATCAAGGAGGTTAATGATATGGTGACTAGAGAACAATTCTATTACTAGGAAGTTAGAAACCTCTCTGCGGACACATTATGGATAACGCCAGAAAAACCAACCCTAGTGAAGTGACGTAGTGAATGTTTTTAACGTTACATATGCTAAAGGCTTCCTTAAAACAAAGACATTTGGGTTTTGATATTCATAAAAGTTAGAAGAATCGATCAAATCCATTGACACTTAACAAAAATTCTTAAAATAGAGAGGTAGAAAGTTACCTTAGTAACATTAGGATGATCTAGTTTATGCCAGACGGCAACTTCTTGAGTAAAAGCTGCTCTTAGAGAAGCAATCTCGGAGTCTGTCCTGTGACCCTCTTCACCCCAGTCAAGCAGTTTAACTGGCATTAAAAAAAAGGAGCCGTCATTGTAATGGTAGAACTTGCAACCCGATTGTATATCATGACGAACCAATAAAAAGAAAAAGGAAGAGAAAATACAAAGAATCGAAAGGGTCATAATTTGGTTGAATTAGACGATGATGACGAAAGCGACTACAATAATATGTCGACAAATAAGGATCTTAGTTTCACTAACATAAATATGTATGTATGAGCATTTTTCCTATTCAGTTGTTGGATAGGTTTCAACTAACGGGTGGGGAAGTCACATGAGAGTTGAGGAGTACAGCAACATTATCCAAGTTGTTGCTCTCAACAGAAAATTCAACACAAACCCGTGTAAGAGTCACGGATTCCATAAGAGTACAATTACAGTGGACAATCGGCAACCTTCATTGCAGTCCCTTGAATAATATACATTTGGAATTTTGCCACAAATATATATAAATACCTAAATGTATGTAAAGTAAGAAACTTGTATTGACTTGCAAGATCAACCACACAGTACACCTAATCCAACATTTGAACCGACTAAACAAAGTGAATAATTGTAAAACAACACTACAAGCAACCTTACTTTTGTGCTTAAACGACATTTTACAGTAGAAAAACCAAAGTGGAAATTACTAAGATCTTCAATTATCTCCCGAAATTCAATAAAATTAAAGTAAAAACCAATTGGGTTTTGCTAAAAACATCCATAATACACAGCAGAAACAAAATACAACAAAAAGATTATTTTTTTTAAGAAATGGGCATCGAAATCGAAAGAAAAAATTGGATTTTTGGGAAAAAATCACAAAGGGCAGACACTTGACAACTTTCAAAGGACCCCCAAATGAAAGATGAAGAGCAAGTGGCAGAAGGGGAATACCGGCGACGTCTTGACCGTCGTAGATGCCACGGTGTACGGTGCCAAAGGTGCCACGAGCAATGACGGACTTGATGAGGAGCTTGGAGGGGTCGATCTCCCACTCCTGGCGGTGGCGTTTGGGGATGGAGAGGGTCATGGAGGAAGTGGAGGTGGCGGTGGTTGTGACGGTTGAATTGGAGGTGGAGGTGGTTGTGAGGTGGATGCTGTTGGAATTGGTTTCGGGGTCTCTCATGATCTTGTTCTTCTCCAAAGTCAAGACCCTGTTGAGATGCCTCTCCAGCTGCTCATCCAAGCTCTTCAGATCAATCTGATCTGCCCTCACAAACCCATCTGAGCTTTCCTTCATTTTTTGCTGCTTCTGATTTCAGAAGCTTAGAAATTGAATGAGTTGGCTTCTGTTTCGTTTTGTCCTTTGACTTGGAAACGATGAGTATTGACTACGACTGAGGAGAGAGAGAGAGGCTATGGAGGAGGAGGAGGAGAGAGGAGAGAGGAGAGCAAAGGAGAGGAGGGGGTAAGAAATGAAATGAATGAATCAGAAGAGGGGCATGTGACATGCGAGCACATGGTGCTACCTACAATCAACGTGTCTCTGAGTCTTCTGACCCACTTTGGCCTCCTCCCCTGAGTCCCAACTAGGATGAGTAACAGTTATGTTGGACGAGTAACCGTAATTATTTATCCATAACCGTTTATTCTTATACCCGCATAACCGTTTACTCGTTAGGTAATTGTCTAAACGGTTATATTCATATCCATAACCGTTTATAAACGGTTAACCATACTCATAACCGTGTACCCATTTAACTGTAACCGTTTAGTACCCTTTTACCCATTTATCATTTTTAAACCCGTTTATCCTTTCTTTTTTACCATTTACTCATTTTTCACCCGTCTACATGTTTTTTTAACAACTTGAAAATTAAAAAAAAATTGTCATAATTTTCTTTTTCTAACAATTAAACACTGTTATAGGTACATTCATAATACATTTCCGCATTTTAATTTTTTAAGTCCTTATACCATTCCAATAATTGAAATAATAATTTACAGACAATATTTTTAACTGTTAGCAATGAAGGTAATATAAAATTTGCTAAGTATTCTGGGGTTACGAAAACTGTTAAAAGATAGTATTCTTGGATTATTTAACTCAAAATGTAAAATATTAACATAATATATATAATGGACCATGAAATTTAAAGTGGTTAAGGAAAACTATATTATATTAGCTATAGAAATCATGTACTATAGTCAATAGCATTGATCTAAGTTTTGTCCGATAGGGAACATGGTTTGTGTTAATTTTACATATATAAAATAAATGGGTAAATGGTTATCCGTTTATAACCGCAGTTAATACTCATAACAGTCCATTTAAATTTTACGGGTAAACGGTTATACCCATAACCGTTTATTTATCTAAACGGTTATCTATAACCGTAATCGTGAAATTTAAATGGGCAGGTAACCGTGGTTACCCATAACCGATGAGTATTTGCCCATCCTTAGTGACACACCCCGACTGAGATCAAGGCATGTTGACCGTCACGTGAGAGTGACGTAGCTATGTGCACAGTGCGGAAGCAATAAAGATAAGAAATATACGAATAATTAAAAACCGAATTACTAGAGTGCACTACTAAACAAGAAGTGATAAGAGTTAGTTACAAAAGTAAACACTCCTAATCAGAGCATAATAAGTCTAGGTGCAGTCCAGTAGGACAAGTACTAGTTATACAGTACCAGAAATGTCCTACTATTATTTAGATAGGTCAGAACTATTGACGTCCTCAAACCACCAACAGCAAGCTTACTTAAAACCTGGAGGGGCGCAAAACATAAAACGTGAGTGGGCAAAAACAAATGTTTTACAAAACTATTTCATTTAACAACATATCTAACCCCTTGTTGTAAAACATGTATAATTTTTCCCAGAATCAAGATATAAGCATATACATAAATATATATGAAATCATATCAATTCAATTCATACTTCACATAATCATTTTCATATGTATGTCATGCCAAGATATAATAGAGTAAGTAATTAGGTAAGAATAATTTCATAGAAATATAACATGTGAGCTAGAATCCTATGGTAGTCTGTACAACTGAATTCATAGGTTAGAACTGCTGACGTCCTCTAACCACCAAGAACAAGCTTACTTAAAACCTAGAGGGGAACAGAAAACGTGAGTGGGCAAAAACAAATGTTTTACAAAACCATTTCATTTAACAACATATCTAACCCCTTGTTGTAAAACATGTATAATTTTTCTCATAATCAAGATATAAGTATATACATAAATATATATGAAATCATATCAATTCAATTCAATTCATACGTCATATAATCATTTTCATATGTATGCCATGCCAAGATATAATAGAGTAAGTAATTCAGGTAAGAATAATTTCATAGAAATATAACATGTGAGCTGGAAAGTCATAGCTCAAAAGTCACTCTAGCCGGAGTCACTACTATGACCTATACGACAATATACTGCACAAGAGTCGGAACCAAACAAAAAGGTCTGTACGACAATAATGAGTGTAATACAATCATGCTCAATACTACTCTCACATAATCGTTGGACGATAAATCACTAGTCACCTACGAGTCGGAACCATAAATAAGGTCTGTACGACAAGACTATGCACCTAAATTGGATCCAATATGAGCATATGGTGCGGGAGGTGACATAATAAACAGGCATGTGCCATATCTATGGCTAAATCATAATCAACCTAAGTGCAGTTTTATGAGCTCAACATTATTCAATCACATATCGCATCATCGATGATTCACATAACCAAACACAACTTACCTGAGCTTACCTGAGCGTCCACATCACCACATTTATATATGTAAAGCATTACATACCAAATCATGTATGAATTATAACTTATATGCATGGCATTTATGGCATATTATTATTTAAACACATATTTCTGGGAAAATATCAAGTATATAATATATACTAAAAATCAAAAGCCCACTCACTGGTATGTCGAAGGGTCGTAGCCCCCGAGTCACCCTTGAATACGCTCGTCCTCGGGATAAGTCTCACCTATATGCGAATTAACTATAAAAACGTTATTTTAAAGTACATAGGTAAAACTAGCTAATAACTTCTCATACAAAACTCAATTTTGGTATTTGAATATACCAACATGACCTACACAACCTCACGAACATCGTGATATTTTTAAAATAATTTTTCTGTGGCTCACGCGCCCTTACGCGCCGGGGAGGGCACGGCCTCACGCGCATCACCTTCAACCTCTAGACGTCGGAACAGTGTCACCGACACCGGATTCTAGGCATACCTGCAACTGCCTTTTTCTCACTCGTTTTTGCACCATTTTCCACAAAATTTTCACCAAAATGCCACAAATTACGAGAGGAAGAAGGTTATACCTCTTTGGAGCTTCAAATCCTTCGAAAAATTGTCAGGAAAATCCTACCAAAACCGGCCACCTTCTAACCTCGTGATCCCAACGTCAAAACCGAGCCAACGAAGCACTCCGAGCTTCATAAGAACCTCTTAGAGCTGGCCGTGAGCTTGGATTGTCCTAAAACATAACCATTCCAAAAGTTCATGAATAGTGCTCAACTCGGAGCTTGAGTTTTCAACGTGATATCAGACGAGTTCTTACCTGAAATGGGTACCAATCAACTCGAAATGGCACGAGGAGTGCAATGGTGCCTTTAGAATCTTCGATCTGTGACTGAGAAGCTCACCTCGAGCTTGGTCTGTACGAGGAAGAAGAGAGAGAGAGAGTGAGAGTCCAAGAGAGAGTACGAGAGAGAAGAGAGAGAAAGGGTATGGGTGTGTGTGTAGTCCCAAAATGCACACCAATCAAAACTCTTTAATCTTTTAGTTCTAATTGGGTCCAATTAGTTAGGAATAGAACTAATTGGCCCAATTTCTTAACCCAAAATACAAACACACAATACCACGAAACGTTCAAGGGTAAAACTATCATTTCACATCATCAAAAATTAAATATTCAGAACGGGCTGTGACACTTAGTCCCAACCTCCCCTCTCTTTGAACTCCTCTCCCCATTTTTATTCACACCTATTTATTTTTATTTTTGTTGGTAAGTTAATAAAAGTCACTATATTTAGAAAATATTATGCTACATATATGCCTTTCCACTTTTATTTTTCTATAATTTTTTCTAATGGCAAAGTGATAATTAAACTACTCTAATCTATGCAAAAAATATGTAATTCAAGTTCAGGCTTGAATCTCTTTTCTTGATATTATTTGTTAAAAAAACTACTTTAATCTTTAAAAATTAAAAAAACAAATTCAAACTCGAATTTAAAAGAAATTGTTTTGATGTCACAACTTCAAATAACATATGTTACATCACAATAAAAATTAGGTACATGATATTTTTCATAACTAAATTAGCTAATAAGTTTAAAAAGAAAAGACTAGGTACAAAGGATGTCGATTCTTTAACTTATCAAACTTGTAATTTTATGGCTTACTGGTCACACTATTACCAAAGTATGTAATAATTCCATAAAATTTTTAAATATACCAAAGTATGTAATTTTACCACAACTCTTATTATTTTATTAAAAATTCCTTGAACCCTTTTGTCCTCCCCTTTCTTCTTCGGGTAACTAAATTGGATTAGAATTTAGAAGGCGGCTCAATCGCGAATATCTATTAAGATATCAATTAATTTGCATTGAAATTACTATAACAATGAAAAAAAAATGAAATCTTAACTCAGGTGAAGCGTCCAAAACATTAATTTCATGTTCAATTCATCAAAAGAAATATTTTTCAATCAAATACACGTTGATTGAAAAATATTACTTTTGACATAAGAGGTAAATAATCGTGGTTTGTCACCAGTTATCATTTTTTTTAATAAAAAAATAAAAATCAATGTGTATATAAATTCATTGGTTAATTTGGAGTGTATTTAGATTTTTTAAAAATCTTATAAAGTTAAAATGATCGATTAAAAAAAAATAAAGAGTTGATTTTGACGTTTGAGCTTTGATTACTCAATACAGCACATCACCAAAAAAGAATTAGAGAAAAAAATATGAAAGTGAAAGTTTGAAGTTTCTACAATCTAATCTTTAAATTGGCGAACTCGAACCAACTTGCTTGTTCGTCTTCAGTCTTAGGTTGATTTATCAAATTATGCATCGTTTACTTCTTGTTTGTTTGACTTTTTCACTTTGTAAGGTTTGAAATATCAGAATCCAAAAAACGTATAAAAGTTGGATTGAAAGTGTACAATATGTTCACGAACCCTTTGAAGTTGGACCACCACCATCGCCAATTGATACTAATCCAAATACTAAATGCCAAACATGATTAAAACAATGTCCTAAATAAGAAAGGTTCTTGGGTATGATCGATTGTATGTGACAATAACGGATTGGGTGATACAAAAATACATGCGAGGTCTCGATTTTGTTTTTGAATTAACAATAGTGGTTTATGAGGTTTCAACTAGAAACAACATATAACAAAGTAGAAATT